CTCCAGGGTCAATAGATACAGTCCATGATTCATGACTTAGGGTTGGCTATCTTCCTAGTACGTAGCTTAGGGTTGAGGCTGGCATAGCAGTTCCTTAGTACGGGATGTCGGGGGTGTCAGGAGATACTGCACCTTACCGCGGGGCTGGAACGGGCTGCTGGGATATACGAGGGAACGGAGGATCCCCAGCTCTCTCTATCAACAATTCTTCAGGGTCAATACACACAGTCCATGATTCACGACTTAGGGTTGGCTATCCTCCTAGTACGTAGCTTAGGCTTGAGGCTGGCATAGCAGTTCCTTAGTACAGGATGTCGGGGGTGTCACTGCACCTTACCGCGGGGCCGGAACGGGCTCCAGGGATATACTAGGGAACGGAGGATTCCCAGCTCTCTCTCTACCATCAACACAATGGAACACTGTAATAAACATATGACTCAGGGTTGGCTATCCTCCTAGTATGTAGCATAGGGTTGAGGTTGGCAAAGCAGTTCCTTAGTATGGGATGTCCGAGGGTGTCAGGATATACTCCACCTTACCGTGGGGCCGGAACGGGCTCCAGGGATATACGAGGGAATGGAGGATCCCCAGCTCTCTACCATCAACACAGTAGAAAACTCTAGTAATACAACGTCACACTGTGCACCCTCATGAAGACCTGTAGTAGCATGTTCATACCTAGCTCCCGAAGTCCGTGCAATCGGGCTTGCACAGCATCTGCTTCAACCAGGGCTGAGCAGGGGGGTAGGTCTCTCTGCTTAGCCCGGGTGCCTGCAACCGCTGTCTGGTCAGGTCACCCTGCCAAGATGGTAATGGGTGACAGTCCCGAGTGGTTAACACTAGCGTAGGACAGGGGGGGTAGGGGTGCGCCAGGGCAAAAATGATGAGAGGAAGGGTGGGTGGGGTCATCAGAGGGGTTCAGCTGGACAACCGAGTGGCCAAGTACTGTGGGTAACTGCCATTGGTCTAGTATCCCACCTCTACAACAACCTGGGCTTAAGGAAAAAAAAAAAAGAGAGGTACGGGACTGATGCTTCCCAGAATGGAAACGGAGCCAGAACCGTAAGGTTCTGGTTAAAGGAAAAAAAAAAAAGGAAAAAAAAAGGCAAAAAAAAGGATCACCGCCGATTCACAGGTAGTTTATCAGGTAGATGGCAGGTGGTGAATAAACAGAAGGTGTGAATAGGAGAAAAGAAAAGTAGTTTATGAAAAGTGGATGGAAGTTGCCTCAGTGGTTAGAGCGCCGGTTGGAAAATTTAATGCCCATTGTGGTATGAGGTTGTGGGTTCAAAACTCCGTCGTCTCATGCATGCACACCGGTACTAAGCGCTTTCATAACGCACAAGCCATTCACGCACTCCCTTTGGGACGGCGCAAGGTAAGATTTATACAGACACTGCCTGTGCACCGCCCAAGGGGTCTAGGGCCATGACTGTACTATGCTGGATAGGGCGATATGGAGGGCTGCTCACATGCTTGGTCTTAGTGGGTCTGAGGGTCAGGGTCTTATCTTGGCTCCACCATGGGCCAGGAGGAGAGAGGGAAGGGGGGGGGGGGGGGGGGGGGGGGGAGAGGGAATAGGTTAGGGTAAATTAAAAGTGGATCATGGTTTACTGCTTGCACGACACGGAACAGGATTAAGCTAGAGGTAGGCTGTCAGGTAGGCAAGCAGATCAGATTGCTGCGTAGTGCCGCCTGCCAAATTCCACGGTCACAGATGAAGCCTTCTTCTGGCTGTCATTACAACTGCATATTTGTTTGAAGAAGCAAACTGAATGTTCAGGGACGCTGGACCCGCTTTCCAGCAGGTGTTGCTCCCCACCAATAGATGGAGACTCCTGGGAAATGCTAGTTGTGTCTGCTCTCACCAGCACCCCTAGCATCTTCTCGGGTTGCTTGTTTGTTAAAAAAAAAAGAAAAAAAAAGAAAAAAAAAGAAAAAAAAAGAAAGAAAGACCGTCGGCAAACAAGAACTGCTAAACCTGTTGCAACCGTCAATACCTCTGCGTGGCCACTTGGACCCTCCGATCTGTCAGTCTCGCCAGTATGTACTAGTCCGTGGGGTTGCCATGGTCGACCCTGGGTACAGCTAGCATGTTTCCCGTCACTATGGCACCCGTACGAGAGACCACACAGAGCAAACTTACACTACGGTAGGGACCCCTCTACAACAACCTGGGCTTTTTTAAAGGGGGGGGGGGGGGAAATGGTGGGGACCATCTCGGGGAAGATAACTCTACGTACACACTGGGTGTTAGTGTGGGGTAGGTACTGGGTACTTCTCATTGCACAGGTATCTCATGATGCCTGTGGGTGGTGCTTCATCCAGGATGGGGTCCGTGGGAATTCTCATTGGGGGAATTAGTTGGACTGTGGATACCTGGGGAGCCTTGTGTAGGAAGGCATCATGCTTAGGATGGGGGAAGGGCAGGATATCGCATCTTAGTGGAAGTCTTAGGGTGGTTTGCTGCCCATAAAGTCTGAGGGATGAGGCACAGACGGAAGATAACTGCCTGTGCATAGACCCCACCTGTGCCCGGTCGTCCTTAACATTAGAGTGAGGGTAGTGTCTGCATGAAGATCTTCGGATTATTCAGGTACGCGTTGGCGCAGATCACGACTTGCGATCTTAGCATAGGTCATGGTACGATGGTGCCACCTTCAGGCGACTCCCCTGGGTCCCTCGCAATCCATGTAACCTCCCAATGGATGTGTACTACGGGCACCTCCTGAGGCCTGGCCACCACCCTCTACTACACCCTGGACCTGGAAAAAAAAAAAAAAAGGGCCAAGAAAAACAGGAAGGAAAAAAAAAAGGATCAATAGGAGTCCATCACACAAATACCAACTGGTGAATAAACAGGACTTGTTAATAGGAGAAAATAAAAGACGAAAAAGTATAGGCACGAGTTTATTGGTCAACCAAGTTCCCAACCCCTCTCTTCGAATATGAGCTTAACATTTTCAATGGTCTTAGGGACATCAATGGTCATGGAGAGCAATCGCCGGACCCAACTTCTCTTTTCGTCATCATACACCACTCGTTCATCGGACAGTTTTGAAGGGAAATCGCTGTAGTAGTAAAGGCCAAGCATGGAGGACATATCCCTATAGCACCAGCAGAGACGAGTGAGGTCCCACGTGAGACCATAGGGCACCATAAACTCGTAGACAGCTGTGCCCTTTCTCGAAGCAAGGACATTAGTGAGTCCCGCCCCATGGGGAGCAATAACAATATCCGCCCTCATGAAAAGACGCCAAATTTCACCTGTGTCCCGCACGAGGCTGTCGTCGTAAACCTCAACCACTCGTCGACGATTGTGAGAGGAGGCAGCGGAAAATTCCCCTCGTCTTTCGACATCAGGGGCTTCCTCTTCTTCCTCCACTGCAGCTGCTGCTCTTGCTGCTTCTTCAACAGCCTTCCTCAACGCGGCAACAAGTTCGTCATGGTTCTCGATTCTTCGTCTGCCAGTACGTTTGATGACGAGGATCGTACCTTGACCCGGGAGAGGAGAAAAGTCCTGGACCACCTCTGCTCCTTTATCAACTCCCTTAACCGTGTCCATAGCCATCAATTGCCATGGCGCCATTGCCATCCTCACTCTCTCCTCCAAAACCATGGGCAGTGGAGATGTCTCTTGCTTGAAACTTGGTGTGTTCAGTATCCTTAAAATGTTCTTCTTCTCCTCGACTGCCGGTCTCCCCTTCGAAAGTGTTGACGCTGCAACAGCACGCATCAGTCGACGCAATCTCGTGCCGTAATAGTAGAAAGTTCCATCCATGTACCAGCAGTACATCTGTGTTATAATGACCTCCTCCGCGTATACATCACCAGCCACGACTCTTGAACCGTTAAACCCTAAATAGTCGATCAAATCTATCGCCGATTTCCTTGGCCACCAGCCTCCCTCCTCGTACTTCACACCTGGCGGCGGTGTTGGCACACCAGTTGTGTGAATGACAATGGACTCGTCCTCCATCAACTCGCGGTAATAACCCATCAGCTGTGCTGCGGTCTCGGCCAGCTCGTGATGGATTCCTGGGAAGACATGATCGGCGACATAGACCTTCTTAAAGTGATGGCGCGTTCTCGCCAGGTTGGGCCGAATGACAGAGTCGAAACCTCGGGGACAGTTGCCCCGTGGATTGAAAACCATATCGTCGTTGTATATCAGTCCATTTCTCGACACATAAGCATTTCGGAACTTTGCAACATAGGGTGCGGGGCGAACGGGCAGCTGGTGAATGACTGGATGCGAGAACCACCCACCCCCTCCCGTCCGATTGAGGTCCGCTAGAAGATCTTGACGAAGCTTTTCACACTCTTTTTGGCTGGTCATTTTTGTGCCACATCGAGGGGATATATTGGGCTGTTTCTGCGAGCTGCAGAATACGTCATCCTGCACCGCGCGGCGAAAGAGGGTCAGGTCGCTACATGATGCACAAACACTGACCAGCTGCTCCAATGCTTTGCCAGACATATCTTTCCAGTATACGTTCCTCACATTTTGCCAGGTTCTCTCTTCTCCGAACAGCTGCATATAACCCACTTCCACCTTCAACAAACCTGCAGGTTTTCCATTTCCATCCTCTTCAGCTCCTCTTCCTCCTCCTCCTCCCTCTCTCGAAGCATCTTCTATTTCTTCTCTTCTTACGATCCCTTGTTCATTCTCCTCCTCCAGATAGTCCTGCAGACCACCATAATTCTTGACCAATTTTCTCTGCCCAAATGCAGGGATTGTTGACCAAGATACCGGTTTTTTGTTGGATGCTCCCATCGTTTTCGTCGCCTGCATTAGTTTACGCAGCGGCGTCTCCTCGCCGACATCGCCAGTCCTCTCACCCTCCTGGTTAATAGTCGACACAGCTGGCGCTTCATTCTCCGTGGTTTCGAAACGGTGGTGATCCTCCTCTCCCTTCCCGTCGATTAGGTTGGCACTCCATCCCATGTTATATGCAGCACTTGCACTCCGCAGCGACGCCACATCTTCATTTCCATCTCCATCTCCATTCTCTACAGAAGTTGCCAGAGTCATGTGCATTGACGAAAATAGCAAACAAATAATGGCGAGCGCAAGAAGCAACCACCTGCTTTGTTTCACCACAGACCCCATGACATCATTAGATTTGGTAACCATGACCATTGCAGGGTTATATGTCCACATGATCTTCTCGAAATGCCACCAGCTTCTGCACACGTGTGCCGTGCGCAGATCATCAATTGCCTTCTTCTCTCATGCCCACTTCCTTGTCTCCGCCTATAGCAGCCGACCACTGATTAACACAAATACACAGACAAGTTGAGACAACGGAGTAACGTCAAGGTCTGTCAGAAGTGCCAAAAATTGAAGAAGAACGCATCTGGTAGGGCCTGCCTCTGCCTCTGCCTGCATAGCCTTTACAAAAAAAAAGAAAAAGAAAGAAAGAAAGAAAGAAAAGAAAACGACTGGTAAATGTGGGGAGAGGGAGGTTATCAAAGGTCTTCTCTTCAACATGCAACACATAGAATTACCATTGATAATTGATTAGTAAAATCTGAGAGATACCAGGTGATTAGGTAGCCTAAGATCCTGACAGAATGCCGAGGCACGAGGGCCGACATCGAGAGCCTACGTAATGCGGCAAACAGACCGCGGCAACTCCCGGCGTGCTGTATCTTTCCTACGACTGAGTTCGAAGTTCGAATTCTCCAAGTGCACCATCGCCAAGCTACCCACGTCCCTACAAAACATTCAAGGGGTGAGGGGTGATTTCGCCATAGCTTGTGTAGTCGCGCCTAAGGGCGTGGCAACCGGCCCCACCAAGGAAGGATTAGAGAGGGGGGTCGAGCCAAATGGGAGAAAGGAGAGGGCGGGAAAGGTGCGGCGGGAAATAGAGCAAGGAAGTGATAAAGGTAAGGCAGCTGAAAACGGAGGAAAGGGAGAAGAGAGGTGATATGGTCAGGAGAGGGGAAAAGAGAATAGGGAGTGAAGTTGAAAGGAAACAAGGACACGGCAAACAAGGGACTGATGCGAGGAAAAGACAAACTCGACTATTCAAGACAACAGAGGGGAAGAGAAGAGCTTGATGTCTGAACGCAAATCTTTACTAAAGATAGGAGTTTCAGGACAGTGAGAAGAAAATTTCAAGGAGGATCAGTGAGAGGGAATCCGAAGCAGGGAAACGACAGGAAGGCCTCTGGTAAGGAAGACCACTGCCACCCAATCAGAGGTCCGTTGAAAAAAGTAAGATCCGAGACATCATACACCATCCACTTTATGCTTCAAGACGGTCGTGAAACCGACAATAATCTCAGAAAGGCAACAAGAGAAGCAGCGTGGAACATCAAGAAAGCTAGCAGGAGTGATAGGCGGTACAGCTGGCCAAGACTAGGAGGGAACTGAAAAACGTAACAGACGAGCGCGACACAGACCAACCCTGGAAAAGCGCAGTAGCATAAACTAGAGACACCGCAAGCGACAGTCACATTAGAAAAGACGGACAAAGGGCAGCGGAGTGGAGAGACGAGTACACGGCATGGAACGCACAAACCGCCAACCAGACACCCCACACAGGCCGCCCCCACCCAAACAGTCCCCTCCCCACAGGCATAGAATCCCCAAAATCCACTACCCCTCCCCACTGCCAGCAACCCACATGCCCACCCCCCCACCTACCCCTACCCACCATCCCCATTCCAATAAACTCGTCAACATCATACTATCCACGTCTCCGCCGACCCTCCCCACCCCGACACGCCCCATCCCTTCATATCCACACGCCCTTTACCCACCACCCCCATACCTCCATCCCGCCCACAGCATTCTACCCACAACCCCACCAACCCTCCGCTCGATGACATCACCCTTTCTCCATATCCTTGCACCGGTCAATCCCCCACGCCAACATCCCACAGCTTCGCTTAATATCCCTCCCGAACAATCCCTCCACCTCCTTCCTCGAGACCTTTCCCATCCATTTCAAGCAACAGCTCCAACCCTACCTGGACACCTCACAACCCCCTGCAACCCCCCTTCCCTCACAATATCCCCCACAATTCCCCCATCATCCCTTCACTCGCCCCCATCATCCACACACCACCTCCATTAGATTCCCCTTTCTCGCCCTCTCATCGCCTACCTATCAGTGTCGCCTCACCCGACAGGAATGCATCTACCCGCCACACCTATTCCCATCCCGCTCTGGCACAGGCAGCCCCCGTAAAAGCCCCAACACACTCCAGACGGCAAACACAACCCGCAACCCGCAAAATTTTCGCCTTTCCTCAAACAAGGGTAGCAACGCTGAAGGCAAGCAACGGAGCTCCTCTCGGCACACTCTTCTCAGCCTCCCCGACGGTGCAACAAAGACACACCACTTCTCCCAAAAACGCTTCTGCAACAAAGTGTAACACCGCCATCCCATGACCATCCTACTTACTAGCAGACCCTGAATCTTCTCTCCTTTGCAGTTCCCTTTCCCTCAGCATGTCGTCTTCACAATCCTTTTCTGCCTCCCGAGGGCTCAAAACCAAAATGAACAGGATCTCAGCCAAGAAGTGCTAAATCTGATGGTAAAAGAGGGAAAAGCAAAACCAGTAATGAGAAAGGAAATAATTAAAGACGGCAAAAAAGTGGAACAAGAAGTCGAAGTTTCGGAATATCTAAAGGAGAATCTACCAGTGGTGGACGAGTTCTACGAATCCTATGCTGTAGTGTGACCCTTCCCTGCTAAGACAAAGCACCTCTCCCCAACCAAAAAAAGCAGAGTTTGTGAGTCACTCAAAAGCATCAAGGACCTGAGAGACACAGAACCCAAAGTTGCCTACCAGCCGAAATGTCGAAATGCAGTCACTGTCCTGTGCACAGACACCAACAATGCCAACTTCCTTCTGTCAGACCAGGCAATGTACTCCAAGGGATAAGTGGTAACCTACTAACCAGGTCTGCGTTTGGTCTGCATTTGGTCCGCATTTGGTCTGCATTTGGTCTGCATTTGGAGTCCAAATGCGGACCAAACAGGTCAGCTCCACAACGCTCCTCGCACCTCAGACAGGGTCTAATAAGCAGGTACTTCTGGATCCAATTTGATAACCTGTCTGATGCCATGCATTGTAACGAGCGTGAGGCTGAGGGTGAGCCGAGGGAGATGAGAGAGAGGGAGAGAGAGGGAGAGAGAGGGAGAGAGTGAGAGCACACACACACACACACACACTCACTCGACACGACGGACTCGGACTGAGGGTCGGACGCAGACACAGTGGCAAGGCACAAAGTCGAAGTCTTGGATTCCGAATGCCGAAATGGCAAGTCACACTGAGCACGAGTACAGCAGCTGAGAACTCGTCGAGACTCGTCCCCGTACCGTACGGGGAGCCGGCATAAGTACCGGTGACACGTACGGTACCAGGGGCATTTCTGCAAAGGCCCCGAGGGCAGA